TTGACGTCCTCATGTGTGCCTGTGCTGCCTCCTGTAGTTGAAACGATGCTGCCTAGGCAGGCAGGTAGGTATGTAGGTGAGAGAGACAACTTCCTTTAGGTTTTTCCCGTTGGTGGTGATTGGCGCCTGTTGCTGCTGTTGTTGTTCTTGTTGTTGTTGGTTGGGTATCCTCATCACCTGTGTTTTCTCTACATTCACCTGAAGGGAGTCACATCTTCGCTGCCTCATCTCGCCCCTTCTGCCAACCTGCTAGCTTTCGCCTGCAGATCTTCGAGTTTGTGCGACATCAGACATCACTTCATCATCGGTGAAGTCGAAATCCTTCAGGGTTTTTTCATCAGTCAAACAGCGTATGCCCCTCTTCTTGCTCCTCATGGTTTGTTGCATAATCCAGTCGACCACAATCAGGAAGATCATCGGTGATAGTAGGTGGTAACCTTTTCCTACTGCTGTCTTTACTTCACTTCAAAGGCATCACTGAGCTTTCCATTGTGAATCACTCAACATGTAGTATCGTATAACATATAGCTACTGTTGAATAAGGTTGATATGTGTTTGTGGCACTGAGACGGTAGTGTTGAAGCAGCAGCAGCAGCAGCAGCAGAAGCAGCTGCCTGCGTGCCAAATTACTTGTCAGTCGATGTTGTCGAAGGCCACTTCAAAGTCGATGGAGTTGAGGTACAGGTACAGCTGACCGCCATTCTATGCTGTGTTCTACGATGATGCGTAGCGTAGCGTTGCTATTTGATCCACACATGTTTTGTTCTTCCTGAATCCAGTCGGCTAGCCAGCCAGCCAGCCTGTTGCGGTGGTAATTTTCAATGCAGGACATTGTTTAGTCTCTCCAGGATGATGCAGTCTAATATTTTGCTCACTTTGCGTGGACAGCAGCATGATTGCTTACCAGTTCTTGCAAAGACTTAGGTCACCGTACTTCAGGAGTTCGACAAGGTAGGCCTTCCTCCAATCGCCAGGTACCCTTCCTTCTTTCCTTCCTTCCTTGCAAAACCCTCTGAAATAGTGGTGTGGTGTGAGCATGTCCGCTGTTGTCTCTGCATCTGTTTTCAATTCTTCTGGTGGAATTCCATCTGGTCCTGCTGCTTTCCCAGCTTTCAGTGACTTCATGGCCTTCAGGACTCGTGCTTTTGTCGGAGGGCTTGTGTTCATTGATAGTTGTGTGGCTGGGCTGTTGGTGGTATTTCTGGATGAGTTGCAGGTGTTGGTGTTGGTGGTGGTCGAGTGAAGAGTTTTTTTGAAATGGTCGCCACACCGTTCTCTTTGTTTCTCGTCTTTGCTGGTACCCAAGTTTCCTTCACTGTCTTTCATTGGTTTCATGTGTGTTGATCTCTTCACTACCAGACAGTAACCTGATCATTTGATATAATGTTGTCAGATCTCTGTCTGTCTTACCTGCAGCCTGTTCTGCTTCACTTGCCAGTGTATTGTAGAGGTGTCTTTTGTCTTTGTGCGCACTCTTCTTCACTTCTTTGTTCAGTGTAGTGTTTTATAGGTTGCACTCAGTTCCCCTACTCGCTGTTCATCCCTGCACTGCACTACACTGCACTGCACTGATTCATCTTCTGCTTCACCATCTTCCTATCCCCTATCAGTTTCCATATCTCCATCGAGATCCATTCCTTGTCATGTTTTTTCTTCCTTCCTAATACGGTTATCCAGGTTTCTTTCCAAATCTCATTCAGAGAATTCCAGTGTTCTTCCATGCAGGTTCTTTCAGGCATGTTATTTAATATCTCTCATTTTGTCCTGATGATCGACGTGAAAATGGACATCATAGTTTCACCCTTCAGTTTGTGTTCTGGGTGTTGAACTTGAACTGTTGTCTATCACGACCGGCTTCTTTGAATGCTTTCAACTTGATATTGGATGTTGCTTGCACTAGATACTAGGTATTAGTGTGAACCTCCATCTCCTACCCTTCTTAATCTGATCTTGTGTCCAGTAGGCTAGCTGCTTCTCCACTTCCTTCAGATTGATATGGAAGTCGATCTGATTTTTAGTGTGTCTGTTGTCTGGTGAAATCCATGACGGTCGCTTTGCGAATGTCTTTGTGTTTTTACACACCAAATCACTAAATGTGCAGAAGTTTGCAAACAGTTCTCGATTCTCATTTATTTCACCGAGTGCCTCTTCCCCCATAATTGGTTCTCTTCCTGTGTTGTCTGCTCCTAGTTTGGCATTCATGTCACCCATCAGAATTTCGATGCTGCCATCTGGGGCAATGTCTTGTCCATCATTGATTGTAGTTATCTGTAGAATTTCTGCTTCTTCTCTTCATCTGTATTATTTGTAGAGGCGTAGCGTAGTATTGTGTGATTATAACTTCCCTTCCTTTTGATTTGAATCTTGCTGTCATGATCCTGATCGTCGAGGAGATTGGTTTCCATTGGTTGATAGCCTTGAATGTTATTGGGGACATTCTGATAGCTACTCGAATAATCAGTATGCTCATGGTTGTCGTGTGGGTGACAATATCGGAGTAGATTATTAACTCTCCAGTTGAAAGTTTGGAGAGTCCACTTGCATTGCATCTGCTTTCGCAGATTTCTAGCACTTCTATCCCATATCTTCTCATCTCTTTTGCAATCTGGGCAGCCTTGCTAGCTTCAAACATAGTGATGGCATTCCATGTCCCCATGTTTACTTTTGCTTTAATCGAGAGAGAAGAAGACACATCGACCAACTGGCTCCGCGAATGCTTTCACCAACCGGCGTCATTTCGTCTCCTCGATTCCAGCGAGGTATATGTTTATTTTTTATATTTTCTCTGTGTTCTGATTTTTGTTTAGTGATTGGATTTGTTTTCCGGGTTACGGTTGCTAGCCCTATCCTCAACCTGCTCTGTTTATCCGGGCTTAGCACCGGCTAGTAAACTAGCGAACTAGTTAGCTAGGCAAAGTTGCACCGTGCGAAGTGATGCCATATTGCAGTGCGTTTCATTTTCCTATTAGGTATTGTCAGGCAGCGGGTATTTGGCAGGAAACCCAGCCTGACCTAGTTTTCATGGTTTTCTGCGCTTACCAGTAAGGTTGAATAGGTCAGTGTAATCATCTCCGATTACAGTACTGGATGGTGTGGCTTCGATTACTGTGGAGAGTGCAGTTTTCACCTTATTGATGAGTGCCTACAAGCACGAAACCCACATCAAGTAGTACTGGCTTCCTGCCAGTCTACCTCCAGTATTTAGCACTGGAACACGCTGCATCATAGTGTTACACGACTGCATTCAGTGAACTGACGGTATCCGGTATGTTAACACGTGAGCTCCATAAGGTGTAATTTGCATGAATGGTCATTATATGTTCAAATAAATGCTAAAAATACTAAAATAAGTAAGGAAATGAATTGAAATTACCCTTAAATTGCTTATTCTACAACAACACAGCAACTACTACCACTACTACTACTCGCACTACTACTACTACTCACACTATACTACTACTACTACTCACTACTACTACTACTCACATTACTATACTACTACTACTACTACTACTACTACTACTACTATATACTACTACTACTACTACTCACATTACTACTATACTACTACTACTAACTACTACTACTACTACTAACTACTACTACTACTACTACTACTACTACTACTACTACTACTACTACTACTATACTACTACTACTACTACTACTATACTACTACTACTACTACTACTACTACTACTACTACTACTACTACTACTACTACTACTACTACTACTACTACTACTACTACTACTACTACTACTACTACTACTACTACTACTACTACTACTACTACTACTACTACTACTACTACTACTACTACTACTACTACTACTACTCACACTGCCACTGCTACTGCTACTACTCTTTTCTTTTCAGTTTCTTATGAATCGGTTGATTGATAAATTTAAGCAGATAATTATCTACATGCAAATTATTTGTAATGTGCCTAGTTTCCTAAAGCGGATTTTCTATCCCAGTTTTAAGCTTTCATTGTCCTATTTGTTAGACGTTTAATTACGATTACTTAAAGTGAGATGGAAGGCTTTACTGTGGACGATACTAGTCAGTCTCCAAACCTCCATCTTGTTTTCGTTTAATCTTGCAATTCAAAACTGCTAGCTTGCCTTCATGACTTTCAAAGTCATAAGTGAATTGGATTGCGTTCACTACTGAATTTATACATGTCAAAAGTCTACTGATGTGTTTCGATTTCAATATTTTACGTGTGTCGCCTACACACTAGAAACATATTTCTAGAGTAATCCATTCTCAACTATCTATAAATATGTCTTCGATTATAGGGGATATTAGTGATGCCATAGGAACCCCTTGGACATATATGAAACTTAAAAAAACTGTAGACATCAGATGTAATCGAACTCCTAACATAATTTCCTCGATAGACACCTTAACTCGATGCATAAACTCACTGTCATCCTTTCCTAGTGAGAAAGACTATGAATTTTTTGATAGTTGGTAATAAATGTTGCTGCTGGCAAATTTCAACAGTAAGCAAGAAGAGATAGATAACGATATCTCTCCATAGCTTACTTTTCAACATTTACGACCATACTGATTGGTTTCTCTTATCCAATATATGGTATCACAGATTCGAATTTGATCGTATATTTATAGGCTCCTTGTTTCCAATTAGTATAAAAAACGTTTGTCATGACGAAGTCAAATTTTCGCCTTGGTGATTTCTATCTGCTTATATTCCATAGATAATAAAAAAAGTTATTTGAATTAGTTATCTCACTAATTTTGCATTTCATGGAGCTATTTTGAGCTGTACTCAACTTTATAAACACACAGCAATACACGAACATGAAGGATTAACTTAAAGTATAGGACATTAGTTCTTAGGACTTGTTAATAGGAGGTCCAGTGATAGTATTGAATCAGTTCAGTTATCTATTCCTTAGTGTTTAACTATAATCGAAGTGAGTCCATGAAGTTACAAATTATGACAACTAAGTGGACTTTCAGTGTCCAGTATGTTACAGGTTGACTTGGTGCGCCGTGACTGGCATCAATGTTCATTATTTCCTTCAAAAAATAGTACTAGTAGTGTGAGTATTATTATTATTAACATTAGCAGTAGTAGTAGTAGTAGTAGTAGTAGTGTGAGTAGTAGTAGTAGTAGTAGTAGTAGTAGTAGTAGTAGTAGTAGTAGTAGTAGTAGTAGTAGTAGTAGTAGTAGTAGTAGAAGTGATAGTAGTAGTAGTAGTAGTAGTAGTAGTGTGAGTAGTAGTAGTAGTAGTAGTAGTAGTGTGAGTAGTAGTAGTAGTAGTAGTAGTAGTAGTAGTAGTAGTAGTAGTAGTAGTGATAGTAGTGTGAGTAGTAGTAGTAGTAGTAGTAGTAGTAGTAGTAGTAGTGATAGTAGTGTGAGTAGTAGTAGTAGTAGTAGTAGTAGTAGTAGTAGTAGTAGTAGTGATAGTAGTGTGAGTAGTAGTAGTAGTAGTAGTAGTAGTAGTAGTGTGAGTAGTAGTAGTAGTAGTAGTAGTAGTAGTAGTAGTGTGAGTAGTAGTAGTAGTAGTAGTAGTAGTAGTAGTGTGAGTAGTAGTAGTAGTAGTAGTAGTAGTGTGAGTAGTAGTAGTAGTAGTAGTAGTAGTAGTAGTAGTAGTAGTAGTAGTGTGAGTAGTAGTAGTAGTAGTAGTAGTAGTAGTGTGAGTAGTAGTAGTAGTAGTAGTAGTAGTAGTAGTAGTAGTAGTAGTAGTAGTAGTAGTAGTGTGAGTAGTAGTAGTAGTAGTAGTAGTAGTAGTAGTAGTAGTAGTAGTAGTAGTAGTAGTAGTAGTAGTAGTAGTAGTAGTAGTAGTAGTAGTAGTAGTAGTAGTAGTAGTAGTAGTAGTAGTAGTAGTAGTAGTAGTAGTAGTAGTAGTAGTAGTAGTAGTAGTAGTAGTAGTAGTAGTAGTAGTAGTAGTAGTAGTAGTAGTAGTAGTAGTAGTAGTAGTAGTAGTAGTAGTAGTAGTAGTAGTAGTAGTAGTAGTAGTAGTAGTAGTAGTAGTAGTAGTAGTAGTAGTAGTAGTAGTAGTAGTAGTAGTAGTAGTAGTAGTAGTAGTAGTAGTAGTAGTAGTAGTAGTAGTAGTAGTAGTAGTAGTAGTAGTAGTAGTAGTAGTAGTAGTAGTAGTAGTAGTAGTAGTAGTAGTAGTAGTAGTAGTAGTAGTAGTAGTAGTAGTAGTAGTAGTAGTAGTAGTAGTAGTAGTAGTAGTAGTAGTAGTAGTAGTAGTAGTAGTAGTAGTAGTAGTAGTAGTAGTAGTAGTAGTAGTAGTAGTAGTAGTAGTAGTAGTAGTAGTAGTAGTAGTAGTAGTAGTAGTAGTAGTAGTAGTAGTAGTAGTAGTAGTAGTAGTAGTAGTAGTAGTAGTAGTAGTAGTAGTAGTAGTAGTAGTAGTAGTAGTAGTAGTAGTAGTAGTAGTAGTAGTAGTAGTAGTAGTAGTAGTAGTAGTAGTAGTGTGAGTAGTAGTAGTAGTAGTAGTAGTAGTGTGAGTAGTAGTAGTAGTAGTAGTAGTAATAGTAGTAGTAGTAGTAGTAGTAGTGTGAGTAGTAATAGTAGTAGTAGTAGTAGTAGTAGTAGTAGTAGTAGTAGTAGTAGTAGTAGTAGTAGTAGTAGTAGTAGTAGTAGTAGTAGTAGTAGTAGTAGTAGTAGTAGTAGTAGTAACACAGGTGTTACTCGGATTAAGTTCTGATGCCTGAAAACGTTTAATTCAGTTTTAGTTATAAAATTTATACTACTGATCAGTAGTTTTTTTGAGTCACCATCACTAGAATCCAGTTTAGGTTTATCGTTGAACTGACAAAGCGTATATTAATATGATAAACTAAACAAGTCGATGCATTGTTTAAAACTTTAAACAAATAGACAAAAAAGGATACAAATCTAATTGTTTATATAAAAACAAGATTGTTTTTCTTGAGACTGTTAAGTGCAAAATTTTATATACGAGTGCAAAAGTTTGTCCAAAATTGAGAACATTTTGCATTATTGTAGGTAGGTACTGTTCACATTGTTGTTGTTCAGAGTGTTTGTTTTGGTTGCTTCGTTTCACTCAACAATGGCACTATATTCTCGCTTTAAAATGTCCAATGCGTCTCATGAAACAAAGAATGGTCATTATATAGTTCGGCTCTGGTGTTGGTTTATAAATTATACTGGTGTTTCTATGCCATTTCTGCAAATGAAAATACTTGATTCACTTATATGTTGCACACACACACATACACACACACCCTTGTTTAACTTCTCTGGGTGGCTGATCTGAGGCAGCTGGCAGGTGACGCTGGAAATCACTAACACCAACTGACAACCCTGGTTAGGTAGACAGAGGCGATTTTCACTCAAGACACATACTTCAATGGTTTCCAGAATTAACTTATCATAGATGGGTAGGAATCGCCGCACATATATATATATGGTATAATCAAGTGATTTATCTCACAGGAGGTCTCATTTCGAAGATATCTATGCTCTTGAATGCTGACACACTAAACAGGAGGCTTATGGATGGCAATACAATTATGAAAGCAGATTAGATTGTGTAAGATTGCATTTAATTCACCGCCAGTGTCGTTTCTATTTGTGTACAATAACATATGAATTGCCGGAGATACTATTGAAGTTGAAATAGGTTGACATGAAAGCTGTTTGTGTATGATTCCCATTTTAAATTCTTATATATTATTATAATATAAGTTGAATGTTCTCGTTTCAATTTATTATGATTACTTAATCGTAGACTTTTTTTATTGATTGTATGTTGTGGAAATTCTCCAACTTCCTTGATTAAAATGAACCTATAAGATAACCTTGAGTGGCAAGAAGTGCGACTGCACTTTCTATTATCTGGTCAGTTGCATAATTGTTCATTATTTTGCTCATAATACTAACAATAAGCACACACAAACTTCTCAAAATAACTTACTTTCTAACTCCATTCTTGAATTATTCAACTTGACACCCAAGTGTCCAGTCAACATACTTCAGTGGTTAGTTGATGGTACATTCAGGAAGAGATGAAATAGGAAACGAGTTAGTTCTCTTTGAAAAGTGTCTATATAAGGGCGGAGATGTTAAGATTTTTCTCAGGAATCATCAAATGATACCTACTGAGAAATAGAAAGTAAATATAAGTGAAAAAAACTCATGTGTTTATTCAGCTGGCGTAGAAGGGTGACAGCGTTTCTGAAAAGTTTGGCAGAATGACTAGAAGTCTCCATAGCTAGGAACTACTCAATCGAGAAACGTATTTCTCTAATTAGGTCACATCTCAGAAGAAAATGGACAAGTAAGCATCCAATATCCCCACTAAGAGCATTTAAGAATTCACGTTTATTTACCGAGGCAAGTACCTTGGAAGGACTATTCCTATAAAACGTTCATCCTGTTCCGCGAACACGTTCCAAATAGCCAAAGTTTGATGCGATTACACTTACTCAAAAGTTCTCCTTCACATCATATGATAGGCAAACAGACAAATCAATGTAGAACCCAGCGCAGAGGTGCACTTGTTCCTACTGCCCCAATTCATAGCAGATAATTGAGAAAATAAGTCGATAAAGGTTAGTGAGAATATTCACTACCATGAAATAATGAAAACGGTGTGGTTCCGTTTCCAGATACATCATAAAAGCCCCTAACTACTGATTGCTTTCATCTGGAGAACATCAACTAGATAGCCTATACCCCGCAACTGAGCGCACACTAACAGACAAGGACTTCATTACGTAGTACCATGTCTTAGGCCGATCACCCTTAACTTTCTAACAACTCAGTCTTGTCTCAGCTAACATCAAACATTAACGTTGGTAGTGCTGGCGTAATATGCACATCTATCGGTGAAGGTTCAGAATCTCATCGACTGACTTGCCTTCCTTGGATAGCAGGCTTTTCCTAACCTCAATATAATTCATATAGTGATTCCACCATAAGCATGCAATGCTACTTTCAACGACCAAGTCAAATAGACGTAAAACAGGATAGAGTGGACTGTAGTGCAGTATACTCGTCATTTGTTGAGTAGACAGACATCTTACTGACACCCGAAATGACGTAAGATGACAAATACAAATGGATTCTTTGTATCATAGCTTAGATTTCATCAATTACCAATCTACTGGACTGATGCAACCATCTAATTAGGTGAAACGTTTCATGCACTCCACAACATCCTACTACACCGACTGCCTTCTTCCTAAATTTCTTAACTGTCTTCCTTTGTTATTTTCTGACTAGTTCCAGATGCTTTATCTAATGTAACATTTATCTCTTTGTTGCTATGCGAAAAATTTGTTTTCACTAGGATTATGATTATTTCCAGGTCATTGGCTTAGATAAACTTTTGGGTCTTTCTTTTTAACCACTAAGAAACTGGATAAACGTTACCACTATCATTTATTGATATTTATAGTTTCCTGTTGGTTTATCGGTCGAGCCCAACAAATATGTAGAAAACAGTGGAGATGGATAGGGCAAGCACCGAGGAGATCACTTGAAGATATCACGTGCCAAGCCAGTTGCTCGAGCGGAACCTAAAGGGTAAACCACAAGTTAGGGGTCAGAGGGTGACATGGAGGAGATGATGTGAGGAAGAAATGAGAGCATGTGGGCAGTCGTGGAGCCAGACTGGAGAGAAGAGAGTGAAATGGTGACGTGCTATTGAAGCCCTATGCTCCACTAGGAACCCAACTGACAAATAATAATGATAAACATCGGGTCGAACTGGCCGATCTTTGTCTTTGTGGATGCTTCGATATTACCTGAAGATTCATTATGTTATAATTTGCTTGGTGATGGTGACAATCAGCCGAATCTGAGAAGTTTGTTTCATCTTACCAGTATCATTTGCATTACTGACCTAACCTCTTCACTGTACATTTTTCTTTCTGATAGTTTTGATTACTGGATAACGTCAGGCAGAAAACCTGAGATTTGTCAGCAGTGTGCATTTATGACTCGTTCAAACTGATACCTCAGATCAAGTCATACCTCATGAACCACCGAGATCTTTCATCTTTGTACATAGAAAGGAAAATTATAGTTTGATGGCGTTTATTCAGTTACATCTCTCTGTCTTATTGAAAAGTCAGTCTTCAGTGATGGGGTTAACGTTCTTTTTTCAGCATTCTCATGAGTCAGTACTCCATTGCATTACATATTCATGTTAGATATTAGATAACTTATACTGTCTGCATCAGTCAAAGAAGTTACTGTATGTTTTAACCATCATTACTTCGAACTGGTTGCATCTACTGTACTGAGATACTAAAATTCAGGCAGCTTTTCTTTCGTTTCAATAAAAACTTATCTCAAACTATAGTTGATATTGATTGACATTTCACTGGTACACTAGTTACCGTATTCAGGTGGATATGTTCTGTTCTACAAGCATCATGACCAGACGAATAATCCTAAGGCCATATGAAGAGCACGCATCTCTTCATGCATTGGATACAAGAGATAAAATCGTGTCAATGGATAAGATACTGTAGACAACCCAACAAAATATGATTCCTTGTCTGAGAGTTCATTGATAACTATGACAATAGTATTGCCAAGTACTTCTTAGTATTGTCCAACCAATTGCATAGACAAAAATACTGATATCGAAAACTACATAGTGAGAGTGATACGTCACTATCGGGCAACAGGGAGAAGAAGAAGTTTGCAATTATTATTATTATTATTAGTCCCTTGGGTTCCTAGTGGAACATAGGGCTTCAGTAGCACGTCTCCAGTGACCTCTGTTCTCTGAGATCTTTTCAACCTAGCTCCACGACAGCCCACAACCTCTCATTTATTTCTCGCACAACCTCCTCCATGTCACCCACACCTCCGACACCCAACTCGTCGCTTCCCCTGGGGATTCCACTCGAGCAACTGGCCTGACGCGTGATGTCCCCACTCGGCCTTCTCAGTGCATGCCCAATCCATCTCCACTTCCTCCTGCATATTTGTTGAGCGATAGCTTCTTGGTTGGTGCGTTCCCAGAGCTCCTTGTTGCTTATTCTGTCTGGCAATCCATCTGTTCTTCAGTAGCGAGGCAGCGTAGGTGGCAGTTGTTGATGAATGTCTGTAGTTTATTGGAAACGCCTTTCGTGACGCGCCAAGTCTCTGAGCCATACACAAGCACTCACTTGATTCAGTTGGTGTTGAAAATCCGTATCTTGTTCCACATGCTGAGTTGAGTTCAAAAGATCTCCACACTGGTTTCAGATTAATGAACGCCTGTCTTGCTGTCTTTCCGATTCTGACTTTGACATCCTCGTCTGTCCCTGTGCCACCTGTAGTTGAAACAGTGCTCCTTAGATGGGTGAAGGAGGTTACTTCCTTTAAGTTTCTCCCGTTGATGGTGATTGGAGTTTGTTGTTGTTGTTGTTGGAGTTGTTGGTGCGGTATCTTCATCACCCCTGTCTTCTCTATATTCACCTGAAGTCCCGTCTACGCTGCCTCTTCTGCCAACTTGTTAGTTTTTGCCTGTAGATCTTCAAGTTTATGTGACATCAGGCACAAGTCATCGTCGGCGAAATCCAGATCTTCTAGGTTCTTTTCCGTAGTCCAGCGTATCCCCCTCTTCTCGCTCCCCACTGTTTGCTGCATGATCCAGTCCACCACAATCAGGGATATCATGGGGGATAGTAGGCAACCTTGTTTCACTCCTGTCTTCACTTCACTTCACTTGGAAGGCATCAC